CAATGAGGATCTAAGTGTGTGGCATCTGCAGTGCAGAAGCCAAAGAAGACTCAAGACACATCTGTGAACTACAAAGTCTGAGCCAAGTTTCCCCTTCAATCAAGGGAGGACAATGAGACCTATGTCACAAACCGGTGTGATGAGCAAGAAGAGGAACACACAGGTAAATAAATGTCCAGGGAGAGATCTTGTACACAGTAAATACCTGACAAACACTCATTCACTCATGCTTTTATTTGGTCACTGACTCAAGTTTAGTCAAAACTGTTCAATAAAACCTGGAGTTGTACTGGGTGGAAAAGGCAAGAAAGAGTTCCCAGTATAACCAGGATGGGGGTATCGATCATTGGGATAATGAGCCAGATTGGGAAGTAAGTTTAGAGGAAAGTTTGTGTTTTGTTTAATTTTTGAGATAACTACAGGATAATCATAGAGAGATGTGTGCCCTGAAGTTGGTTACACAATAAATAAACCCAGAAATAGGTCGTGGGTGGAGATGAAGATCTGGAATTCAGCAGCACATGGTGGGAGTGGAGACTCTGGCTAAATTGACAACATTCAGGGAGGTAACAGTGACGTCAGGACAGTGGAGACATCGACCCTTCGGGACAGAATAATGGAAAAGGAGCCGAGGAGAAACGGGAAAGGACTGAGCAGAGAAGTAAGAGGATAAATGGAAACCAAAGGATGACAGTGAGAAGTTTACATGTCAACTGCCACACAGTGGTCAAGTGAAAATGTGGGTCATTTAAAATCTTTTAAGGGAACAATGATATAGTGAAAAACTGGGACATTCTAAATGTCGAAGTGGAGTAAATTCATTAATTCAACAATATTATGTAGTCACTGCTACAGTGATACAGAAGTATATTTATTTACATATTGGAGGCCCGATGCACGAAATTCGTCCAAGGAGCTCGGCCCTTGCGGCCCTGGCTGCCTCGAGGCCCTGCCCACTTGTCGTTCAGAAGGTTGTTCTGCCATCCGGTCTAATTAGCATATTAGCTCTTTATTATATAGGATGCACAGAAGAATGTTCAGATACTTTGCTAAGTTAAACAGGCTGTATCCATTATGACCATATATGTTATAAGAGAGTATCCTATATACTAAAAGCCTAATATGCAAATTGTCCCCTCAACTGGGAGTTTGACCACTCTCTATGACGTGCGCTGACCACCAGAGGGCAGCACGGAACATGTCGGTGACGCGACACTGCAGTGGGCGGCAGTGGAGGCGCTGCTGGCCCCGAGGGCCCCGCTGAGAGCAGGACCGAGGTGGGATGGTGGAGCAGGTGAGTGAGTGGCGCCAGGCCAAGGCAGGTGCAAGCGGGGCCTGATCACTGTGCAGATGGCGACCAGCGGCGGCAGCGGGGGACGGGCCACTGCCTGGCTCCCAGGTGCTGTGGGAGCCGGGCGGTGGCCCGATGACTCAAGTGGAAGGGGGCTTGTGGGGGCCTGGGGGTTCACGTGCTGCCCAGGGCCCAGAGGTCAGCTGGGACCTACCCTTCCATGTCAGACGCTCGTGCTTCGATCGCCGGCCAGGCCTAGGGACCGCACCCGTTCATGAATTTTGTACACCGGGTGTGTGTGTGTGTGTGTGTGTGTGTGTGTGTGTGTGTGAGTGTGTATGACTATATGTGGCAAAAAATCTTGTAAAAGCAGTATAATAGGATTTCTGTGAGAAACTGTAAGACTAGACTTTGAAGTAGATCGCAGTACAGGAATAGAGCTTGAAGGGGATCAAGGTGAAGAAAAGGGCCCTCAGTGTACTTAATTTTGTATTTGTGTAGGTCACAAACACACACACACGGAAACTGAATCACACAACCTTGAGGAACCTGGAACTCTAAGTGACTGAATAGTTTTTAGATATTATATAAATAATTGCCACATCTTTTATGGCACACATGCAGTCATGGAGCTGGGGTAAGTAGGCATGAAAACAAACCAGAAATTCCTAGTTTGGTTGAATTTATTCTTTTAATTTTAGTTTTTGGAGGTAGAATGCATCTTTTCACTGCATTGGTATTAGCATATTTAACAGCTAACTTCCATAGTATTTTAAAGAAAAGAGAGGAGCCTCTGTAGCACACGGCCAATGTTTGCCAATCATAGAAGCAAGTGAAGAATCCACTCCAGCCTCCAGGCCCACCTGTACCTCCTGCGCGTTTAGTGCTGTAACGTGACTTGCAAATGCCCCTTACACCCCATGAATCCCATTTCTCAGTGAAGACTGCAATGCTACCTAGATCGAAGTTTGCAACTTCAAATGCTCTTTAAATCAAACACAATAAAGTCCAGACACTTTCTCTTTTGGTGAGAAAGACGAACTCCCAGCTCCACTCTCACCTCAATTGCATAACTCAAGAGAGCAAGAGGCAACTTTCCTTGGACTCTTCAAATAAACTCTCTTTAGGGATCAGGCTATGCACAAGAAAATAGCTCAGCAGGAATTTTGAAGAAAAAAGAGAGAGTGAGAAACTAGGGATAAAAGCAGGAAAGAACCTGAACGAAACATTACCAGCACCGTAATATAACACATGCACTGTCAAACATTAGTTATTTGAATGGAATCAGGGACAAGGAGTCAATTTAGAGAGTAGAGATCTGGCAGGAGTGGTTTTAAGAAAAAGAACACACATGTGTGTTGGATGGATGGACATATGACCTAGCTTTGGATAAATGAACTTAAGAATCGTTTACAATTTATGTGAGCCTGTTTCCAGCAAGTCTGAGAGGCAACCTGAAACTGTGTTATCAATTAGGGACTCATTGATGGATTATATACAGTCTGAAAGAGCCTAAGGCTGGATATCTTGCAGATGTAAATATCAGACATGTGATAGCCGATGAAGTACATTAATTCTGCTCTGAAAAGGGGCATGAGCTAGAGAGGAGGAAAAGAAGGAGCGCTGAGGTCACCCTTCAGCATCTACCGCTCCTCTCCTGTTACAAATGATTGCTCAAGAATGTGGACTTTGGGATGCAGCCACTGCCTGGTGGAATGTCACACACTTGACGTGCAAGCAAGTCCGTCCTCAAATACCTGAATATTGCCAAAAGCTGCCTGTAAATCTAGCTACGTCCACTGTGCTGAGAACATCTCTTGTAAGGTAGTATGTTATACTTGAGACGTGCTCTGAGAAATAGCAAAATTCAACATCTCATCTTTATATACCTCCACCCTCACGACCCTCTTCCTTGACCACATAGAAGATGCTTAGGAAATATTTGTTCAATGAATTTTTTTTATACTTATTCATTCTAGTTAGTAGATGGGAGGCCATTACCTGGCAGAAAGAATGGCTGCTGTACTTACTAAGAAAAAGGCACAATAATGCGACTCTTAATGATGGAGACAGTTCTCAACAACGTGCTCATTAGAAACAGATATAAAATAAGGGAATGAGGATAGAGCCACGTGGGCAGCAGCTTCCGGATCCTCCAACGTCTGGCCCACGGAGATGAGTGACCCTGGCAGGGGAGCATTGCTCTGGCTCCCAAGTGAGTATGCAGCCCCTCCGTCTGCCTCAAACTACCTTTCTTACTGTCTCAACCACACGGCCAGGAGAGTAATGGAGCTTCATCTAGAACCTGAGCACCAGACAGGATTGAGTACCAGGGACTTGCTATTAAAGGTACTGTCTACCAGAAAGGAGTAAAAATGCATTGGAAAGTAGTCTGTAATTCCTTCTTGTTTTATTTTCTCCCTGATTATAAAGCAAGGCATGCTTAGTTTAAAATTAATAAAATTGGGAAGTAAAAATAGCCTACTCTTTGTTCCATCACTAAAAAGACGCATGCTATGCAGTAATATTTTTATTAATTCAAATGGCCCACAAATTAACATGTATTATAAAAACCTCAACTATACATATTAGTGGATTAAATTGTGCATTTCTGGGACACATTTAAATCTGATCATGTTCAAAGCTTTATGCTTTGTGCCCGCTATAGACTCTTCCATAATTCATTTCTCTGCCCTTCTGTACTCTCTTCAATTAAGTTTTTTTATGAAAATGATTTTCATTTAGCATCCTTTCTAGTAGCAAACCCAATCTGCTCCAGAAGTTTTCCAGATTCTCAGAACAATAAAAATAATGACTGAATCCATTATGTATTGGTCCACACAATATGTGCCTAGCTAAAAATAAATATTCTGGTCCTCTGGCTTTTCTCTTGGGTTTTACATGTTTGCAAGAGACCTGGAATTTGGGGAATATAGTTCATATTTAAGGATTAGGTCCTTCATCTCTCCAGTGGTAAAGGAAGTCTTGAGACCCTTCTGAACCTTTGATTCTTCCTTGGTAAAATCAGAGAATTGAGGCTGGTAGGCGATTTCTAAAGTCCCTTCCAGCTCTGAAAAGGTGAAGCCTTTAGGTTCTGAGGTCCATCAATCAACAAGTGTGTATAACAAAACCAGAGGGTGAGACATATAAACGGAAACTCCAGGGCAAGAGAGCAGAAGTAGTATGTCACGTTGGAGTTGTGTACATACAGGTGCCCTAGTAATTATTACTATTGCATATAACGGAGTTCCAGTGCGACCAGGAAGAAAGTTCAAACTCAATATAAAGCACCATGACACTGTATTTTAATTACTAGAAAAGCTCCTTCATCATTCTTCCAAAACACTCCCCAAAACAAATTAAAAATTATAAACAGGAAATACAAAGGAATTCAACACCTCCTATTGCAAAGATAACTGAGTCTCTAAAATATCCTTTACAGCAACACATGTAAAACTCCAGCAAATGAGATACCGAAGAGCCTAGCAAGGTACTATAGAGTAAATGCTCAATGCATGGCAGCTCAATTTTCTTCCTTCTTTCCATCTTCTGAATGTCCACGTTCCAGCAAGAAACGTCCAATTTTAAGTATATACTTTTCTTCAAAAGTTAAAGGAAACTGTCTAAAGCAATACATCTATTCATGTACTTAAAGTACTTAAATGTGGTGTGATGCAGTTTATTTGTATAAAACTCAAAGGTCACTGACCTGAATTTAAGTCTCGTCCTGGATTGAAGGCCCGGCTATTCACAGTAGTAGAAAGTCGATCACAACTAATTGTTCTAGATACATTGGTATTGAAGTTCCCATCGAATCTGAAAGAATAAGAGAGTTGGCAATATTTATTTGGTGGTTATTCAATCCAGAAAAACAAACCAACAAAAATAAGAGTTCATACTGTATATAAATTAGGTCAGCTCCTAAACAGTAAAATTGTGATTTAAATTTTAAATATCAAAAAAATTACTGCAGAAGAGTTTTTGGGGAAAAAACAACATTTGCACCCATAAAGTTTTAGAAATCAAGTTCTATTCTAAGGACATGAAGAAATAACCATCCTTCGAATCAACTTTTCTTCCATGAACCTGAGTCAGGCACTATTGATAAAATCATGCAGAAATAGATTCAGACTAGAATTACAAAAATACAGACGTGAGCTCTGATGTTACATATGAAACAATTATTTAAATTATCCTATCTGAAAAATCATGACCAAGAACCAAAATAGAGAGTAGTGCAGGAGAAAGAATGGCTACAGAGTAGGAAAGATCTAGATTTGAATCTCTGCTATGTCACTACTAAATATATGTTACTTGGACAAAATTGTTTAATTTTTCTGACCCTGTTTTCTTACCTGAAAAAAAAAAGAAATAATAAAACTTATTTTCCAAAGCTGTAAAAAAGATGATAAATAATGTACCAAAGTTCATTTCATTGTACATGACATATAGCTTCCACCTTCTAGACCAGTGATGGCGAACCTTTTGAGCTCGGTGTGTCAGCATTTTGAAAAACCCTAACTTAACTCTGGTGCCGTGTCACATATAGAAATTTTTTGATATTTGCAACCATAGTAAAACAAAGACTTCTATTTTTGATATTTATTTTATATATTTAAATGCCATTTAACAAAGAAAAATCAACCAAAAAAATGAGTTTGCGTGTCACCTCTGACACACATGTCATAGGTTCGCCATCACTGTTCTAGACTGTAATGTAAATAAGACCAAAGTCTTTTCTGATTTCCAGTGGTAGTACGATGCGAGTACTAAAGCTAAAACGGTGTTAGTGCTCTGGCCAGCAGCGGATCAATGAATACTAGTGCAATCAATGACTTGTTTGTCAGCACTACCAACAAACTGCAAGAAAATAACAGGAAAATGTACCAACTCTGTCACTAAGAGTATTTTTAAAAGAGAACTTTAACCCAGAAGTAACAAAAGAGAAAAAAGTGAACTTCAAATAACCTATTTAGGATTTCAGATACTAGGAGGACTTATGACGTTTCTTGGACTCCCCAACCCTGATAAATTCAGTCTGAAATTATGTTTTCTAAAATGTGTGAAAATGTGTCCTCAGATGAGAAATGCCACTAATGGAATTCCATTACCGTGGGTAGAGAAGCTATCTCCCCTGTATCACCCAGGAGAAACAATCCTAAAACTCTAGATCCACTTGAGTATTCCCATGAACTTTGATTATCGTTGATCACATCCCATAATACTTAAGAGCTGCAAAACTGAACAGATTGTATAAGCAAGGGGCTAGGTTTTCACAGGGTGTGCTGGGTTCCAAAAGCTAAACGTTTTGTTTTGAAACATATCGTCTCAAAGAAGGAGGTAGGCTTCCGTCCAGCCTCTAACCCAGGACAGAATTACATCAACATCGTCAACTGTGCCTCCAAGGACACAGTTGCTTCACCAACGTGGTCACTCTTCCTTGGACCTGCTCCAATTCGTCTAGACCGGAAGACCGCTGCCTCGAAAGCCACAGATGAAGAGAAAAGAAGAGATTAGTACATCAGCAGCTGGCTGTTTTCCTGCCGGCAAAGCAATATAATCTCACTTTCCCGCTTTTGTTTTACACTTGACCTTTGGTAAAGCGAGAGCAGCGTTACACAAGTGACTCACCTGCTCTCCATGCCCTAGATGCCCCTCACATACTTTTAATAAGATCAGATAACATTTAGGCTTTGGGTACGGTCTGCCAGAAACTCACATCTGGACTCTGCTGTACAAATTACAAATCCCCTTTAGACCTACCCATTTCACAGATGAGAAAAGTGACATTAAGGATCACACAGAAAGTCAGGGACCTAAAAGGAACTTGAATCCCATCACTGTCCAAGGATGAGCCAACTACCACACTGCTTAATTGAAATGACACATAAAGAACAACTTGCTAAGAGGGGTAACTCAAGAGTCACTGAAATTTTCTACCTGGTGAGGTGTACACTTGCAGAGAGCCCCTGCCTCCCCAGATGAAGTCTCCCCAGCCAGGACCTGTGCTGTCAGCCCCTCCCCCTGAGAAGGTTGAAGTCCCGTATGGAGCACAGAGAGATGCCCTGGGCCTTTGTGCAAGGAAAGCTTGCTCCTGGAGTGGAGAGACCAGGGAACTAGTTTTATAGGTTGTTTTCTGTACTGAAAAGATCATCTCTAAGAGCTACAAAGAAAACATTTTTATAACAAAGAAGATGGAAGAGACTCATTAACAAAAGTAGGTGCTCAGCAAATATTTGTCAGTCATAAAAAGGCTTCACAATGCAGTACCTGTTATCAATAATCTACCCAACCTTTTTCCCCCATTACCTCTCAACCTATAGTTCTGACCAGACCAGTCCCTCAACTGCTGGACCCCAACTGTGATGCTCTCCAGTGTCCGATGCACCCACACAAAGCTCACCTCTTCACATCCTCCTCCCTGAAAATTCTCCTGCCGGTTCCAGCCTGTGATGACGCCTGCCTCCTCCAAACTGACCAGCGTCATTCTGCGTCTTAATTCTAGGCTTGTGTCTCTCTTCCTATCTGTCACATTGCCTTGAAATCAGGCCTAACATAGTGTCATCATAGTTGATGCCCATTAGACTCAGATCGATTGGATTAAGATTCCGTTTATACCAACAACATACTAATCAATAAAAGTTTAAAAAGAAGATCTATAATAAAAGCGTATTATGCTAATTAGACCAGATGTCCTTCCAGATGACCTTCTGAACTAAGCTGGGGCTGCGAGGGAAACACGGTCCCGGGTGCCTGCCGATGGCCGGAGGGAAGTTCAGGTCCCGGGTGCCAGAGGGAAGCTGGTGCTGGCAGCCAGGGGAAGGAAGGCCTACTCTTGCACGAATTTCATGCATCGGGCCTCTAGTATAATCTTGTACATAATTTACATTTTCTAAGCCTCTGTTTTCCTCATCTATAAAACGGTACTAATAATAGTACCTATTTCAAAAGGTGTTAAGAATTAAATCAGAAAAAGGTTCTTAAGAGACTAGTACATAGTACACTTTTAATAAATAATAATAATAACAAGTATTGAATGTCTTAGTAATGCTACCAAATGCTTATCATATGTCAAGTATCTTTCAAGTGTGGTGCATGGATTAACCCGTCTAATCTTCTCAAACTCTGAGGGAAATACTATTATTATAGCCATTTGAAGACTAGGAAACTGAAGCCAAAAAAATTTAAATTAAGAAGCCCAGATTCACAGCTGGGGATTAGCAGAACCAAGATGTGAACATATGCCCTGGCCAGCTGGTGTAGCTCAGTTGGTTGGATGTTGTCTGGTACATGGAAAGGTTGCTGGTTCCATTTGGGGTTCCGGCACATGTCCGGGTTTTGGGCTCAATCCCTGATCCCTGGTAGGGGGTGTGCAGGAGGCAGCCAATGGATGTTTTACTCTCACATTGATGTTTTTCTCCCTCCTTCCCTCTCTCTCTCTCTCTCAAAAAAATCAATAAAATGTCTTAAAAAATGTGAACATACGAGTTTTCATTCATAATGAATACATTACATTGTATCTCAATATATCAACAAATAAATCATCACCAACATGATCTAAAACAGCTGAAGAAAAATTCCGTTCTCTCAAAGAAAAGGATTATGATAAAAGATTGTAGGGCTTAGGGGAGATTTTTGCTTTTTACTTAATAGAAAATGACAGCAGCTAAACATAAGGCTTTCACAATGGATAGCTACAGAAAATGAACTCTGTGAACAAAGATGTGGATGGGGAGGAAGAGGAAGAATATAGTAAAGACAAGTGTTCTCTATTAATTACAAATAGATTGAAACATGCTCACCACTGGCACAGCTATGGAATTGGCCATTTTGAGTTACTTTTTATCATGCCATTCTAGAAAAGCCTCACACTCCCTTCCCATTCACCACTGAACTCTGAGAGGCCTGGGATAGCAGAGTGAGCATGTCTGTACGTCTGCATGGGGCAGAGACAGCAGACCTGGCGCCAGTTCATACTAGTTTCTCCTTTTCCCGGTTCCAACTTTCTCCTCTGAGAAAAAGACCCTGGCATTTTGGTAATCTGAGGATCCTGAACAAATAAATGCCTATGTGCTACAAAGGTTACATAAAATAGAAGACCAAGAAAGAGAAAAATGCACTAAATTCTGAAAAATTCTCCCATGGGACAATGAATACAGGGTGCTGGAAAATGTGATGGACAATGGCCATGTGGGCGAGGCATGCTACACAGCTCAGGGAAACTCCAGTGGACATGGCGCAGACACGCAGCCTTCCAGAGATCCAACTTGATCCAAAAATGAAACGTAAAATACACAAAGAAGTCCTTTTTGTGAAAGAGTCCATCTAATTTTCCAGATGCTTCAGAATGAATAAATAACCACCTTGCAGGAGGACCTCCGCCAGGTCAATCTGACCTATCTATCTGCTGCTAGCTCAAGGACATCTGAGATCTGAAAGTTTACTGGTAAGGAGTGAAAACAGATTGTTACTTCATTTCAGAAGATAATTTAATTCTTGCTTCGTGAGTAATCTGCATGTAATGAATGCTGTGTTTTTAAAAAAGATTTTTTTAAAAAAATATTTTTATTGATTTCAGAGAGGAGGGGAGAGGGAGAGAGAGATAGGAACATCAATGATGAGAGAGAATCATTGATTGGGCTGCCTCCTGCACGCCCCTGACTACGGATCAAGCCACAACCCGGGCATGTGCCCTTGACTGGAATCAAACCCGGGACCTTTCAGTCTGCAGGCCGATGCTCTATGCACTGAGCCAAACTGGCTAGGGCTTAAGAAGATTTTTTATTAATTTTTTTTAAGAGAGAGAGAAGAAGGGA